TTCCATGGCTGGGACCCAAGAGGAGTAGGAGGAAGAAGAGGAGAAGGAGGAAGAGAGGGAGGAAGACAAGGAAACCGCAGGGGGCCAAAGGCAGTGGTGATGGTGGTGGAGGAGAAAGAAAAAGAAGAAGAGAAGGGAGAGGAAGAGGATGGTGGTGATGAGAAGGTTGAGAAGGAGGATGGTGATGATGATGAAGATGATGAGGTCGAGGAAGAGAAAAGGAGATCGAGTTGGAGAAAAATGGCGATGAAGAGCATGAGGATGGTGATGATGAGGAGGGTGATGAGAATGATGGTGAGGCTGGTGAGGACGATGAAGATGAGGAGGATTTGAGGGGGAATCGTTTGCAGCGAGGGCTCCCTGGCAGGCTGGAGCTGAGGCAGGGTCTCCAGGAGGGAGGAGGATGAGGAAGACGAGGGGGAAGGGGAGGTTGATAAAAAGGATGAGGATGAGGAAAAGGAAGAGAAAGGTGAGGATGATGATGATGAAGACGGTGAGGAAAACAATGACGAGAAAAAAATTGAGAAGATGACAGAGAATGAGAAAGAGAATGACGATGATGATGACGACGACTACAAGGAAAATGAGGAGGATGGAGGGTGAGCGTAGGGGTGATAAAAGTGGTGAGGATGGTGAGGATGATGAGAATGAGGCTGAAGATGGTGAGAAAGGTGAGGATGGTGAGGAGGAGGATGGTAACAATGGAGATGGTGAGGATGATAAGGACGATGAGGATGAAGAAGATGAAGATGGCGAGGAGGAGCGTGAGGATCATGAGGTTGAGGATGGTGAGAATGAGGATGAGGACGGAGAGGATGATGATGAGAAGGATGAGAATGGTGAGGGTGATGATGCTGAGAACGGGAAGGATGAGGATGAAGACATAAGAATGAGGCTGATGCAGGTGGCGAGGATGAGGATGGGAAGTTGAGCATGGCAGGGATGAGGATGAGGATGGTGAGAATGATGGTGAGGATGGTGAGAGTGATGATGAAGAAGATGGTGAGGACAATGAGGAGGAGAGTGAGGATGGTGAGGAGAATGATAATGATGATGATGATGATAAGAACAAGAATGAGAATGACGAGGTTGATGATGATGAAGGAGGGGCTGAGGATGCCAAAGGTGGTGAGGATGAGGATGATGAAGCTGAGGATCATAAGGATGAGGAAGAAGATGGTGAGAATGAGGATGATGGGGCTGTGGATACCGAGGATGGTGAGGGTGAGGATGATGAAGATTGTAACAAGGAGGATGATGAGGTTGAGGATCGTTAGGATGAGGATGGTGAGAATAAGGGTGATGAAGCTGAGGGTCGTAAGGATGAGGATGATGAGGCTGAGGATCATAACAGTGAGGATGATGAGGATAAGGATAGTGCAATTAAGGATCATAAGGATGAAGATGGTGAGGATGGTGAGGATGAGGATGATGAGGTCGAGGAGGAGGATGGTGGGGCTGAGGATTGGAAGGATAAGGATGAGGATGGTGAGAATGAAGATGGTGAAGATGAGGATCATAAGGATGAGGATGGTAAAAATGAGGATGATGAGGTTGAGGATCGTAAGGGTGAGGATGAAGGTGGTGAAGATGAAGATGATGAAGCTGAGGATGATAAGGATGAGAATGAAGGTGGTGAGGATGAGAATGACGAGGCTGAGGATCATAACGGTGAGGATGAAGGTGATGAGGACGAAGGAGATGGGACTGAGGGTACTGAGGATGGTGAGGATGAGAATGATGAGATTGAGGAGCAGGACGGTGGGGCTGAGGATCACAAGGATGAGGATGAGGATGGTGAGGATGAAGATGGTGAACCTGACGATCATAAGGATGAGGATGACAACGGTGAAGATGAGGATGATGAAGCTGAGGATCATAAAGGTGAGGATGAGGACAGTGAGGGTGAGAATGATGACACTGAGGATCATAAGGGTTAGGATGAAGGGGGTGAGGATGAGGATGATGAAACTGAGGATCATAAGGGTGAGGGTGAGGATGGTGAGGATGAGGAGGATGAGGCTGAGGATCATAAGGGTGAGGGTGAAGGTGATGAGGATGAGGGAGATGGGACTGAGGATAGCGAGGATGGTGAGGATGAGGATGAGGAGGCTGAGGAGGAGGACGGTGGGGCTGAGGATCACAAGGATGAGGATAGTGAGGCGGAGGAGGATGAGGATGGTGAGGCTGAAGCCCCCCATCGTGACTCACCTGAGCAGACCCCTCCCCTCCGGCCCGAAACTGGGGCAGAGTCTCCAAGCAGAAGACCACGATGGAGATGAGGATGATGAGGACGGAGAGCAAGGCCACGGCGCGGGCAGCCGGCGAACTTTCGGGGTGTTCACACAACAACCACGCCCGACGTTGTAAACTCCCCCGGGGCAAAGGTTGAGCCACCTCCACCGCAAAGCCTTCGGCCTCACGGAGTCTTCCTTCCGCTTCAGCTCCCAACTGATAGAACCGTAACTCTTCCAAGAAGACATCTAAGGGGACGTCGGGCGGTCGACGAAGTCTTCCACCCGATTGGTAGTAGTAGAGGACGGCGCCGAAGGCTCCGCGGTGACGGTCGAAGAAATATTCGCGACGTTGGGGGTCAAAGTACCGGCGACGGCGTCGGGGGTCCCCCAAAAGGGTGTCGGGGAACCGGAGGAGGGTCCTTCCCAAGGTCTCAAACCGCCGTCCCGCCACGTTGATGGCCACGCGTTCGCAACAACCCAACG